TAGCATAACAGAGCGTTCGGTCCAACTCTTCCATGCTGACCTGGTTTCTTAAACTAAATTAGCCCCAACTCTGATTTTGTGTCATTAAGTTGATGATGGCTAATTAAGCCTTCACTTGTGACTTCTGGCCTTGCTCATTCACTCTTTAGAGTCATAGTGTTGTACAGCTCAGAAAGAGACCCTTTGGCCCATCGTGCCCATGCTCCAGCCATTAAGCACCTACCTAGTCTGTCCCATTTTCCAGCATTTGGTCCACAACCTTGTATGCTATGGCACCTAACACACAGAACTCCTAATGTGAAAGCAGGCCATTCAGCCCATTGAGTCCACACCGACTCTCGAAGGAGCATCCCACCCAGACCCACCCTATCCCTGTAACCCTGCTGTCCCCATGGTTAATCCATATAGCTTACACACAATGGGGCAATTTAGCATGGCCAATCCACCTAACCTGCAGACCTTTAGACTGTGGGAGGAAACCAGAGCACCTGGTGGTAACCCATGCAGACACGGGGAGAACGTGCAAACTCCACACAGTCACCCGAGGGTGGAATCAAACCCAGGCCCCTGGTGCTGTGAGGCAGCATTGCTAATCACTGAGCCACCTGACTGCCCCAACTAAATAATAAAAGAATGAAGAGTTATCACATCTCCAGCTGTCCTGTTGAGTGCAAGATGAAAAGCTTCAACAAAATGCAACCATTTCGGCAATATAAGTTCTGCACTACCAAATCCCTATTAATTTTATAAATTTGTTTTGACAAGTTAATTATGTGACCCTTTAATGACTGGTTCTTAATTATCTGATTTGTTCAGTTGCAAAAGAATGCAAATTACAGTATCCCAATAAGACACTGTTATTTAATTTGCTTCCTTATTTGATTTGCTCTAAAAGGATTTATAAAGATGCAGATGAATTTGAATGTCCTTGAAGAGGGAAAAGGCAACATCCACACGTAAGCTTAAGGTCTTCCATGACTGACTGGCACACGACTATGGGCCATCATCACTCTGCAAAATCATACCTTAATTTAAAGCAAACTCTCTCTCTCAGTGTGGAAAGTAAATAACACTCAAAGGCTCTCGCCAAAAACAAAGAACTGGGGCAGGGCTTACACAGTTAATGGTAGGTCCCCAGGGAGTGTTGTCGAACAGAGAGACCAAGGGGTACAGGTACATAATTCCTTGAAAGTGGCATCACAGGTACAGAAGGCATTTGGCATGCTTGCCTACATCAGTCAGAGCACTGAGTGCAGGAGTTGGGAAGTCATGTTACACCTGTACACAACATTGGGAACACTACATCTGGAGTACTGCGCACAATTCTAGTTACCCTGCTTTAGAAAAGGATGTTATTACATTGGAAAAGGTGCAAAAAGAGATTTACAAGGACGTTACCAAGACTGGAGGATTTGAGTTATAAGGAGAGGCTGGATATGCTGGGACAGTTTTGCCTGGAGTGTAGGAGGCTGAGGGGTGACCTTACAGAGGTTTACTAAATCATAAGAGGCGTAGATAGGGTGAATAAGCAAGATCTTTTCCCCTGGGTAGGGGGGTCCAAAACTGGCGGGCATAGGTTTAAGGTGAGAGGGGAAAGATTTAATAGGTACCTGAGGGGCAACTTGTTATACTCAGAGGGTGGAGCGTGTATAGAACAAGCAGCCAGAGGATGTGGTAGAGGCAGGTACAATTACAACATTGAAATGACATTTGGACAGGTACATAGACAGGAAAGGTTCAGAGGGATATGGGCCAAATGCAGGCAAATAGGACTAGTTCAGTTTAGGAAACCTGGTTGGTATGGACGAGTTGGGTCGAAGGGCCTGTTTCCATGCTGTATGACTCTACGTATTAGTTTTCATTTTTAATTAATTTCTTTTTTATGTTACTCTTTTCCTGGATTTTTAGAGTAGCCTGAAACCAAGCATACTTGGTTGGAGATGCATGACAATGAAATGGCTTGGAGCATGGTACTCAGCAAATCTGAGTTGCTCAGGTTAGATGCACTTTTATTTACCATGTGGTGGCCCAGGGCTACAAACAGCGATGGTAGAGGTTCCAATGTTTATTCCAACACAGAGTTGCTGAGAAATCCTGCTCCTCCTGCCTGTCATTGGCATGTCTTGGAATGATTTGCAGGCTGTGACTCAACCAAGGGGTATAAGTGGACCTTCCTTGACCATCAAGTCCTGGAATGGAACTCAAACATGGACTTTCTGTCTCAGAGGCATGGACACCACCCACTGCATCACCGAAACTCCGATACGTAGAGTCACAGAGTCATACAGCACAGAAACAGACCCTTCGGCCCAGCCAGTCCATACCGACCATAATCCCAAACTAAAATAGTCCAATCTGCCTGTGCTTGGCCTATACCCGTTCGAACCTTTCCTTTTCATAACGTTGTAACTGCACCCGCATCCACCACTTCCTCTGGAAGTTCATTTCACATGTGAACCACTATGTGTAAAAACATTGCCCCTCATGTTTTTTAAATCTTTCTCCTCTCACCTTAAAAATATGCCCTCTAGTATTGAAATCCCCCACCCTAAGGAAAAGACACCTGCCACTCACTTTATCTATGTCCCTCATGATTTTATAAACATCTCTAAGGTCACCCCTCAACCTCCTAGGCTCCAGCAAAAAAAGTTCCAGCCTGTCCAGCCTCTCCTTATAACTCAATCCTTCCATTCCCAGCAACATCCTGGTAAATCTTTTCTGAATCTGCACTATTTTAATAATATCCTGTAGGTGTTTTAAATAGACGCTGCTTTAATATTCTGTCTCACTATAAAAAGAAGAATATGGAATTAACCCCGGGTGATTTGGGGGAAGAAGTTGGGCTAAAAAATGTAATGAAAAAAGTAATAAAATTATACAAAATTGATTTTAAAAAGTAAAATAAAAAACAGGCTTGTCTGTCCTTGACTATTTATCTGAATTCTAATGAACCAGACAACAACTGTTAAAGGAGCTACAGTAATGTAAACACAGTAAAAGACTCTTGGTCGCCCACAGGGACAATTATCAAATATTGTTTGACAATGAGTCACAAAAGGCTGCTAACTAAAAGCTTGGTCAAAGCAGTAGATATCAGGTACCATCTTAAAAGAATTTAGGAGAATGAGAGGTGGCCTCATTTAAACATATGGCATCTTATAGGGTTCAACAGGGTCAATGCTGAGAGGATGTTTCCCCTCATGGGAGAGTGTAGGACCAGACGGCAGTCTCAGAATAAACAGGCAGCAATTTAAGACTGAAATGAGGAGGAATTTCTTCTCTGAGTCTTTGGAACACCTTGCTACAGAAAGCTGTGGGGGCAGAGTCCTTGTGTAGGTTTAAGGCTAAGATCAATAGATACTTGATCAGTCGGGGGGAATCAAGGGTCATGGAGAAAGGGGGAGGAAAGTGGATGTGAGGAATGTTGGATCAGCCATGATCTGACTGAATGGCACAGCAGGCTCAAGGGGCCGAACAGCCTACTCCTGTCCTTATTTTTTACGGTTCTTAAGAGGAGGAGGACAGAGGGGGTTAGAGAAGAGAATCTGGAGTCTGTGGCCCACTTCAAGCTGACCATCACTTTTGCTGACATCAGTTTTATATTTTAAAAAATGATTTAACAAACACTTTGAAGCACCTAAGAATAAAGTGTGCTATCTGGAGAATAAAGTACTTTTTTTGTGTGAAAATGTATCATTAATTGCAGATCCTCTTTAAATTTCTCCAGTTCTGATATCAGTCAGCTGAAGGCCAATTCATTCATCCAGGTCGATACTGCCAGCTACTGGCAGACAACTGGCACTGCAGCAGCAGCAACACACCTCGGAACCACTGAAAACGTGAAGCAAAGGCTGGGATAAAATAATGCATATTAACAGAGACTGTGAGCTGTGAGAGAGCCGACATCAGACCAGAGCTCTTTGTCGAGAGGTCCACACGGGGCAAAGAGCAAAAACGATGCGAGAAATTAGGGTCTACAGATATGGGAGGCCAGATCAAATACAGAAACAAAACATGAGAACCAGTGTCTACAGCCATTTAGACCCTCGGAGCGAATGTGTGCAAACACACTCGCACATGTCTGTAGCTGAGCGATGGTGTCGGCTTACTGGGGGGTGGCGAGAAGAGTGGTGGTCCTCTAGGTCCAATTACACACTTTCTCACTACAAAACAGAGTCATTGCAGTTATATCCCCAGGGAAGGGACTGAAAGTTACCAGTGTACAGATACCTCCCAGACAGAGGGACTGAGAGATACCAGTCAATGTACAGATATCTCCCTGAGACAGTGGGAACTGAGGGATACCAGTCAGTGTACAGATATATCCCTGACAGACAGATGACTAAGAGATACCAGAGCACAGATATCTCTCAGAAGAGAGAGTTGGATACCTGTCAGAATGTAACGATCTCTGAGGTGAATAGACTGAAACACGGGACAGGTTGCAAAATTCTTAGCAAATATTAGAAACTCATTCAAGCCTGGCTTGGTTGGTAGCACCCTCACTTCTAAGCCCTCAGTTCTGAAAGGGACTGAGGTTGATAGGTCAATGTTGCACTTACGGAGATTCAGAGGAGCAGTCCTTTAAAGAGAAAGACGGTATAATTAGCAGACAAGCTTTCTTTATTCATTCAGGGGATGAGGGCATCGCTGGCTAGACCAGCATTCATTGCCCCTCTCTAATTGCCCAGAGGGCAGTTATGAGTCAACCACATTGCTGTGGGTCTGGAGTCACATGTAGGCCAGACCAGCTAAGGATGGCAGTTTCCTTATTAGTGGACCAGATGGGTTTTTCCGACAATTGGCAATGGATTCATGGTCATCATTAGACCCTTAATACCAGATATTTATTGAATTCAAATTCCACCATCTTCTGTGGCAGGATTCAAACCCAGATCTCCAGAACATTACCTGGGTCTCTGGATTAACAGTCCAGTAATAATACCACTAGGCCATTGCCTCCCCTAACAAATGACATTATGCACATTTAAACATAGAGATGTGAAGTATTTTGTCTTTTATTAAGAAATCCATCAATACCTGCTACACTTCTAAAACAAAATCCCTCAGAACTGCCGGTGTAAAAGCTGGTTAAAAAGTCACGAACGATGTTCTCGAGGAGGCATGACCAGGTGGCGATGGGCATCACTGGGGATCCTGTTGTCCTGACTATTCAGCTGGCGGGCATCAGTCCGAAGCGGCACATCTCTGGAGAGACCGTCAGGGAGAAACTGAATGGTGGAAGAGAGACAGAGAAAGAGGAGGAGATGAAGGTTCAACGAGACAAGACCGTGATGTCCGAGGTGCTCATGATGAGACTGGAATCGAGATTCAGACTGTCTGAAACAGAGACAGATAAAAAAATAAAAGGCAGATCAACAGCCAGGGATTACCTGATGGCAGGTCAATCGGTTCAGAGCTAATTTCCCTCAACATTATCCCTATAACGTGACTGAACTAATTATCGAAAATTAAACCCACAGACACTATTAATGCATTTCTCCACTGATACTCTTTCATAGACCTTGGCAAATATCCTTCTCAGGGCCTTTCAAAACCCCTGATTTCTAACAGATGGAAGGACAGGGTAGCAGATGCATAGGAATGTCACCATCTGTAAGCTCCCTTCTGAGGCCCATGCCATCCTGACTTGGATCCATATTGCCACTCCTTCACTGTCACTGGGTCAAAATTTGGGAACTCACTTTCTTACACCCCCAGCACTGCAACTGTTCAAGAATGCAATTCACCACCAGCTTCTCAAAGGAAATTAGGGATGGGCATCAAGTGCTGGACCAGCCATAGATGCCCACATCCTATGAAATAATCACTTGTTTAAAAAGTCTACATTAGTATGTACCTTACTGTTCCCAATAACTCCATCTCTGGTGATATGGTGCTTCATACCTTTACCTGTCCAAAGATGATGCCTAGAGAGGATGTTCAGATCAGCAAAGGCAAATAAAACATACTATAATTTCCTGGAAAGATCTCAAGTGTGTAACAGAAGTGTGTGCATGCCTCAGAGAGGAGCGTGCATGCATCAAAGAGAAGAGTGCGTGCGTCAGAGAGGAGCTGTGTGCAAGAGGGAGCACGCATGTGAGTGTGTTAGAGTGCCTGTGAGTGTGATAGAGTGCATGTGAGTGTGATAGAGTGCCTGTGAGTGTGATAGAGTGCCTGTGAGTGTGATAGAGTGCATGTGAGTGTGATAGAGTGCATGTGAGTGTGATAGAGTGCATGTGAGTGTGATAGAGTGCATGCATGTGATGAGGCAAACTTGTTTAGGGAGTTTAAGGTGAAGGAACTCCTAGGGAGCAGTGATCATAATATGATAGATTTCAATTTGTAGCTGAAGAGGGAGAAGCTGGAATCAGATACAATAGCATTACAACTGAGTCAAGGTAACTACAAAGACATGAGAGAGGAGCTAGCCAGAGTTGATTGGAAGGGAAGCCAAGCAGGGAAGATGGTGCAGCAGCAATGGCACAAGCTTTTCAGGGTAACTCGGGAGACACACCAGAAATTCATCCCAAGGAAGAGGAAACATACTAAGCAGAGGATGAGGCAACTATGGCCGATAAAGGAAGTCAGGAAAGGAAAACAGTATGAAAGCAAAAGAAAAAGCACATAATGTGGTGAAGATTAGTGAGAACTCAGGGGATTGGGAAGCGTTTTAAAACCAGCAAAGGATAACTAAAAAAAGCAATAAGGGATGAGAAGAATTAAAATGAGAATAAGATAGTTAGTAATATAAAAGAAGATTGCAAGAGTTTTTTTTTTAAGATATCTAAAAGGGATGAGAGGGGCATGAGTGGACTGCTGGGAAATAAGGCTGGAGAAGTAGTAATGGGGAACAAGGAAATGACAGAGGAACTGATTAGGTACTTTACATCCATTTTCACAGTGAAAGACACCAACAGCATATCAGAACTTCTAGGAACTCAGAAGGCAGAGGAGAGTGTAGTGGCCATTACTAAGGAGAAAGTGCTGGAGAAGCTGAGAAGTCTAAAGGTGGATACATCACCTGGACTCCAGAGTTCTGTAGGAGATAGCTGAGGAGATTGTGGAGGATTTGGTGCTGATCTTTCAGAATCACTGGAATCTGGGAGAATGCCACAGAGGATTAGAAAATGACTAATGTAACACCCCTGTTTAAGAAAGGTGGGTGATGGAAGACAGGAAACTATAGGCAGGTTAGCCTGACCTCGGTTATTGGTAAGATGTCAGAGTCCATTACTGAGGATGAGATGTGGAGTACTTGGAAGTGCAAGGTAAATTAGGGCTGAGTCGGCACTGTTTAGTCAAGGGGAGGCCACGCCTTACAAATCTGTTAGAATTCTTTGAGGAGGTAATGAGCAAATTAGACAAAGGAGAGCCAGTGAATGTGAACTATTTGGATTTCCAGAAGGCCTTTGACAAGGTGCTGCACAGGAGGCTGCTAAATAAGAAAAGAGCCCATAGAGTTAAGGGCAAGGTACTGGCATGGATAGAGGATTGGCTGACTGGCAGAAGGCAAAGAGTAGGGATAAAGGGATCTTTTTCAGGATGGCAGCCAGTGACTGTCAATCTTTGGATCACAACTATTCAGGTTATACATTAATGGATGGGCGAAAGAACTAAGGGCATTGTTGCCACGTTTGTAGACGCACAAAGATACATAGAAGGACAGGTAGTGTTGAGGAAGCAGAAGCATTTAGACAGTCTAGGAGAGTGGGCAAAGAAGTGGCAGATGGAATACAACGTGGGAAAGTGTGAGATTATGCACTTTGGAAGGAAGAACAGAGAGGGGTAGCTATTTTCAAAACTGGAAAAGGCTTGAGAAATCTGAAGCACAAAGGGACTTGGGAGTCCTAGTTTAGTACTCTTAAAGTTAACATGCAGGTTCAGTTGGCAGTTAGGAAGGCAAATGCAACATTAGCACTAATTTCAAGAGGGCTGGAATACAAGAGCAGACATGTACAGCTGAGGCTGTACAGGACTCTAGTCAGACTGCATTTGGAATATTGTGACCAGTTTTGGGCCCCCATATCCAAGGATGGATGTGCTGGCCTTGGAGGGGGTCCAGAGACGGTTCATAAGAACGATCCTGGAGATGAAGAGCTTGTCATATCAGGAGTGGCTGAGGATTCTGGGTCTGTAATCGATGGTGTTTAGAAGAATGAGAGGAATCTCATTAAAATTACAGAATACTGAGAGGCCTGGATAGATTGGATGTGGAGAAGATGTTTCCACTAGTAGGAGTGGCTAGGACCAGAGGACACAGCCTCAAAGGGAAGGGGTGTCCTTTAAAACTGAGATGAGGAGGAATTTCTTCATCAAGGTGGTAAATCTGTGGAAATCATTGCTGCAGCAGACTGTCGAAACCAAATCATCGAGTGTGTTTAAGACAGAGATAGATCTGCTCTTATGGGGATCAAGGGTTATAGACAGAAGACAGGAGAATGGGGTTGAGAAACATATCAGCCATGATTGAATGGTGGAGCAAACTCGATGGGCCGAATGGCCTAATTCTGTTCCACTATTTTATGGTCCTTCTGGAGTTCTACACTGAGTCCTCCTTATGGTTTATAATTCTTCCAAGTTTTATGTTGACCACAAACTTTTGAAATATACCCTACACCCCAGGATCTAAATAATTTCCATAAATCAGGAAAAACAGGGGTCCTAATGTCAACCCCTTGGGAACTCCACCACAAGCCTTCTTCCTCCTGTAAAACAGCCATTAATCATTACTCTGTTTCCTATCCCTCAGCCAATTTTGCATCCCTAACCATTCTCAAGAACATAAGAAAGAGGAGCAGGTGGGCATTCAGTCTTTTGAGTCTGCCCCACCAGTTGATAAGGGCATGACTGATACAATGTGACTTTAAGTCCACTTCCCAATCTGTCATGTTTAATCCTCAACCTTTTCTGTCAATCAAAAATGGTCTAATTCGGCCTTGAATATATTCAATGACCCAGCTCTTCAGAGATGCAGAGGGGCAGGAAATCCAAATATCAAATGCTCATAGAGTCATACAGCATGGAAACAAACCCTTCAGTCCAACCAGTCCATGTCGACTATAACCTCAAACCAAACTAGTCCCACCTGCCCACATTTGGTCCATATCCCTTCAATATTTCTTATTCACATACTTATCCAAATGTCTTTTAAACACTGTAACTGTACCTGCATCCACCACTTCCTCCGGAAGTTCAGTCCACACACGTACCACTCTGTGTAAAAAAAAAAAAAATTGCCCCTCATCTTTTTTAAATCTTTCTCCTCTCACCTTAAAAATATGCCCCCTAGTCTCAAAACCCCCACCTTCGGGAAAACACACCTGCCATTCACTTTATCTATGCCCCACATGATTTTATAAACCTCAGTAAGGCCACCCAACCTCCTATGGTCCAGTGGGAAAAAGTCCCAGCCTATCCAGCCCGAACCCTACATCTAAGGTACCCTGATTAGGTTTATGTAATTTTTATGAATTCACTGGTTAGTTTAAATGCCCTGAAATTATTTTTGACGTATACTCAATTACAGTCTTGAAATCCTGCACTTTAGGGAAAAGACACCTGCCATTCACATTATCAATGCTCCTCATGATTTTATAAACATCTCTAAGGTCACCCCTTCTCAACCTCATACGCTCCAGTGGAAAAAAGTCTCAGCCTATCCAGCCTCTCCTTACAACTCAAACCTTCCTTTCCTGGTAACATCCTGGTAAATCTCTTCTGAACCCTCTCCTGCTTAATAATATACTTCCTATAAATAGGGCGACCAGAACTGCACGTAGTACTCCAGAAGTGGCTTCACCAACATCCTGTACAACATCAAAATGACATCCCACCTCATATATTCATAGAGCGTAGGAACAGGCCCTTCTAAGGTGGAATATATACACACATATATAACAAAGATCCTTAGAAAAAGAAATTCATGATCATCTCCAACTCAAATTGGAGACTTCTTTAGGGAAATGCACCCCCCATAGCCCCCTTTCCATCCAGCCAATGACACCAAACACCCACTCCCACCCCGCATTCTGACCACACATGCCCCCTCCCCATTCCTTCCCAAATTTCCCCAATCCAACCCAACCTCCACATCTCCCAGCCCATTACACCCTGTCCCCAACACACGTACCCTGGTCAAAGTTGAGCTTCTTAGCTGGCGATCCATCTCCAAGTCCTTCGATGTCCACCAGGTCGCTGTTGACGTCGGAGTCATTGAGGGCACTGAGCGTCACATCTTGTTTTTTTTTTGGGGGGGGGGGGGGGGGGGAAGAGAAGCAGATGGAAAACATGTAATCCACCGCCGCACAGGAATTATTGAACCATTTCCTGCCCCAATCCTCTACATGTCCATCACTAACCACCCACCCAGTGTTCTCTGACCCAGGATGAGGTGGGAGGAGGGGGACTCAATATATTATTTCTCAAAACTTCAAATCTTTTCTTTATTTTAAGAAATAAAAGAGGATGCAAAACAAAGCAAAATCCTTGGTAGAAACCAAGGCCCTTGAGAAATAAAGGTTCAGATTTCTGGGGTCTGGTCATGGTGACATTTGAATCTTCCACCCTGGACAACTGTGACGATACTATGGCTTCAAGAGGTGTATTCTGTCCTTTGTTTTTGAAAAGAGGTTTTAAGGCAGAGGCGTCGAGCTGTCTATTGAGAACTCACAAATTAAACAACTTGAGAGGCCTTGGGGATTTTTTTTTTAAATGTTGAAACAATAGACGCATTCTGGATAGGTGTGGTCAAGCTCCCACAGAACCAGGACTTTGCATTTTAGCTTTCAGCAGTTGTTGCTGGGGTCTTAAAGAAGTGGAAGCTATTTTTTTTCCATCCTACATAGGCACAGGACATTCAGTTCCTCAATAATATCATGGGTGATCTGACTGCGGTTACAGCAGGATTTTCTTCCTGCTGCTGGAGTTGCATGTGAGACAATCTGTTTTCTGAATTTGCTTTTTGTTAAGGATGTGTTTACAGTATGTTACTATATTGGAACAGTTACTGTTTAGTAGTAAAATAATCTATTATGATGTTAAGTTTTCCAAATAGAGTTAACTTATTCCAGTTTCCTCTTTCTTTTGTTGTGTTTTAACTGTAGAGCGTGAATAGAGTGTGTTTTGAATCAAATCTGGTAGTTTGGCCAATCGAATTGCACCCATAGTGAAACTTGCCTTTAAAATAAGAAAATATTAGGGTCTAGGCTATCTCCTTAATATATTCTGAGGGGGTCTGGTCTGGTCCATAACACAATGCCTCAACATGATACATTGCTTACCACTGTCCCCACCCACCAACCCCTCCACTCCCAACCCCGATCTTACCAGACGTCTTTTGTTTCTTGACAGCCGATGGGTCTGTGGGTGGTGTGTTCCCCACGGCGGCTGCAGCCGCCGTCGCAGCCGGTGGTGTGGTTGGCGCCGAGACTGCTGCCCCCACCGTCGCCGCCTTCTTCTGCACTTTCTTGGGAGACTCCGAGGGGAGGGGAACGCTGCTGTCCTCGTAGACCTTGCGCTTGACCGTGGTCTTGATCTGGGCGCTGGGAGGGGTGGAGGCGCAGGGTGAAATGTTAGGACCAACATGGTGGTGGCCAACTTGTCAAGTGCCAAAAAGCACAACTGCTGCCCCATCTGAGCAGAGAACCTGCATTTCTATAGCACCATGCAATGCTGCAGGATATCACATGATGCTTCACAGCCAATGCTCAGACGGATTAGGGGCAAGCACAGGACATTCAGCCCCTCAATAAGATCATGGGTGATCTGTCTGTGGTTTCAACTCCACACTCTTGCCTACCCTTGATTAACTATACTATTAATCAAAAATCTATCTACCTCTGCCTTAAAAATATTCAACGACCTTGAAAGTACAGAGTTTTATAAAATCACAAGGGGAATGGATAAGGTGAATAGCAAAGGTCTTTTCCCTCGGGTTGGGAGTTCAAAACTGGGGGGCATAGGTTTACAGTGAGAGGGAAAAGATTTACAAGGAATTTGAGGGGCAACTTTTTCATACAGAGGGTGGTGTGAATGTGGAATGAGCTGCTAGAGGAAGTGGTAGATGCAGGAACAGTTACAACATTTATAAGCCATTTGGACAGGAATCAATGAGTATGAAAGACGGAAAGGTTTAGAAGGATATGGGTCAAACAGGACTAGTTTCGTTTAGGAAACTTGGTCGGCATGGGTAAGATGGACCGAAGGCTCTGTTTCGTTGGTCTACGAATCTATGACCTCCTCCCACCATCCCCAATCCCCACACTGCTCTCTAGGCAGAGGAGTTCCACAGACGCACATCCCTCAGAGATTTCCCGCATCTCCGTCTTAAATGGGCAATTTGTTATTTTTTTAAAACATGTTTAACCCTAGTTCTAGTCTCTCGTACAACGCGAACAACCACGAGCATCCACCTTCTCAAGTCACAAAGTATTTTTCTTGTGTTGCAGTCACTGTTGCAACACAGGGGAATACAGTGGCTGACCTGTGCACAGTAGGATCCCACAGAGCCCAGATCATTTGTTTTGGTGATGAATGTCAGCCCAGGCTAGTGAGATCACCCCACTCTTTTTCAAGGTACATAGGATATATGACACAGGATGAGGCCATCACATTCAAACTGGGGAGGCAACCACCCAGTGGCATTATCACTGGACTGTTAATCCAGAGACCCAGATAATGTTCTGGAGACTTGGGTCCGAATCCTCCCATTCCAGCTGGTGGAATTTGAATTCAATTGAAAAATAATCAGGAATTAAGAGTCTAATGATGACCACGAATTCTTTGTCAACTAAGCGGCTATTAGATAGGCGTATGGATGATAGTATAAGGTAGGGAGGGCGGTTAGATAGACCTTAGGATTAGGGTAAAAGTTTGGCACAACATCGTGGGCCGAAGGGTCTGTACTGTGCTGTACTGTTCTATGTTCTATGTTGGGGAAAAAACCCATCTGGCTCACTGATGTCCTTTAGGGAAGGAAACTACCATCCTTACCTGGTCTGGCCTACATGTGACTCCAGATCTATAGCAATGTGGTTGACTTTTAACTGCCCTCTGGGTAATTAGGGATGGGCAACAAATGGCCTGGCCAGAAAAGCTCTCTTCCCCTGAATGAATGAATTAAAAAAAAAGGTATGTGCAAGTGTCTATGCTCCACTCAAGCATCTTCCCATCCAAATTACTCACCCACAATGATTTAATGATATTCTCCATGTGGTAGCAAGCCCCACAATCTCACCATTTCCTTGGTAATTCTCTCCATTCTAGTGATGAAAGACTTAGCTTACAAGGAATGGTTGGGCAGGCTGGCCCCTAGTCATTGACGCTTTTAAAGAATGTGAGGTGATCTTATTAAAATACACAAAATCCTGAGGCGGTAGATACCGAGAGGATGCTTCCCCTGGTGGGGGAGACTAGAACCTGGGGCACAGGTTAACAATGAGAGATCTCCTTGTAAAACATAATTAAGGAGATTGCTTCTCTATCAGAGTTCCCTTCCACAGAAAGTCATGGAGACTGTGTTATTGAATTAATTCAAGGCTGGGTTATTTGATTTGATTTATAATTGTCACATGTACCAAGGTACAGTGAAAATTTTTGTTTTCATAGAATCCCTACAGCGTGGAAGCAGGCCATTCGGCCCATCGAGTCCACACCTACCCTCTGAAGAGAATCCCACCCAGAGCCACTCCCCTACCATATCTCTTTAACCCCACATTTCCACTGGCCAATCCACCTAAGCTGCACATCTTTAGACTGTGGGAGGAACCCGACGCAAACACAGGGAGAATTGCAAACTGGACACAGACAGTCACCCAATGGTGGAATCGAATCCTGATCACGGGTGCTGTGAAACAGCAGTGATAATGACTAAACCAACGTTCCACCCCAGGGTGCAGTACAGGCAGATCATACCAAGCCATGATACATCCGGATAGAATGCTTTCTACGGTGCATCTGTAAATTGGTAAGAGTTTTTAATGAACATGCCAACTTTCCTTAGCCTCCTGAGGAAGTAGAGGCATGTTGTGCTTTCTTGACCATAGCATCAACATGGATTAGGAAAACCTTTGATCAACAAGGGAGTCAGCAGTTATCGGGGAAGCAGAGAGAAACTGGACCACGTTGATTGAGACCAAAATCAGATCAGCCATGAGCTTATTGAATAGTGGAGCAGAAATGAAGGGCTGAATGGCCAATCCTAAACCCAACATTCTTATCTTTCATGTTCCTATGTGCTGTAATGGTCTGTGACTAAGTTGACAAGATGGCCGCTTGGGGCTTTTTTAGCGAACGCAAGATGGACAAAGGGTTTTGATAGTTAGATACAGCAGATGTTCACAGCTAGACTTGTAGTCTCCATATAGATGTACTGGGTAAGATGAGATTCTCCATAGGAAGAAACATTAGGGAAGTTAAATCAGGTTTCTGTAAACAGGCAGTTCTAAACACATAACCATACTAATAAGGAGCGTTTTGGTAAGGCCTAGTTTAGCCACGGTCACAAGTTTGTTATTTAGTAGATTTGTAGAGCTGTACAACATGGAAACAAACCCTTTGATCCAACCTGTCCATGCTGACCAGATATCCTAATTAATCTAGTCCCATTTGCCAGCATTTGGCCCATTTCCCTCTAAACTCTTCCTATTCGTGTACCCATCCAGATGCCTTTTAAATGTTGTAGTCGTACCAGGCTCCACCACTTCCTCTGGCAGCCCATTCCATACACACACCATCCTCGAGTGAAAAAGTTGCCCCTTAGGTCCCTTTTAAATCATTCCCCTCTCAGCTTAAACCTATGCCCTCTAGTTTTGGACTCCGCCGCCCTGCAGAAAAGACCGTGGCTATTCACCTTATCTATGTCCCACCTGACTTTATAAACCTCTATAAGGTCACCCGTCAGCCTCCGACACTCCAGGGAAAACAGCCCCAGCCTATTCAGCCTCTCCCAATAGCTCAAACCCTCCAACCCCGGCAACGCCCCTGTAAATCTTTTCTGAATTTTTTTCAAGTTTCATAGCATCCTATCAGGGAGACCAAAATTGCACGTAGTATTCCAAAAGTGGCCTAACCAATGTCCTGTACAGCCACAACATGACCTCCCAACTTCTACACTCAGCGCACTGACCACTAACAAATAACAAACGCCTTTTTCACTATCCTGTAAAAGGTAGCAAAAGGTAGAAGAAGTCTGATCCTACAGTATTCTGAACTGTTTAGGTAATTGTAGAATTAGAAAGGCAAAGAACAAATTAGCGTGCAAAGATTATTTGCATTCCTTGAGCAACTGTTTGTCGGCAATAGAGGCCCAATGCCTTATTAGGGAAGATAAAGTAATAAATGGTCTAAACATGACCTCCAAAACAAACATTGGCACAGAAGAAAGGTTGTGAAAAGTGAAGTCACGACTGAAGAAAGATAAACAATTGAAATTAAGTGCAGATGTCAATAATTTGAACAAATTTTTACATCCAAAGATCAAGGGAAGAGTGACAAAGGCAGATTACAAAATACAGAGCGAAGTTATGGTTATCTCCTAGTTGTTTGTGGAATCTAAACAAGTTTCATTTAATGGCTTGTTAATGTTTTACAGTGGTTGAATTTTGCTCTTATCAGTGGAATTCGAATAGATGCTTTTATTAAGAAAAGATAATTAGTAATGGAAAGTGTTTAGAGTGGAAATAGTAAAAATTTTAAAATTAAACTTTAGTTTAAAATCCACTTACAACATGTAAATAGCAGGGGTCATTAACTGCAGCTGCCAGTCAGAAGGACTGTTGTTTGATCTCTCAGGCTGAAGTGAAAGAGGGGTTGTCCTCAATTTGTCAGTTGTGTCACAGTAACATTAGAATTAATTTTAAAGACTTTAGGAAGGATAGTAATCTCTAACAATTCTTATAATCTGCCATACTAAAGTTAGTACAGAATTTGGAAGAGCTCTCAGCAAAAAGCAACTACTTAAGTTATGGTGAATGATGCGGTATAGCTGGCAAATATTTGGCAAGGAATAAAATGGTCAGAAGCACTGTTAAGATCCCAAAGACAAATGATGGAGGTATCTGGTAAACATCATGGGAGGACCTAGAGCTGTCCATAGAGTTGCCATCGTTGATCACGTGTTACTGGATTGGATGTAAAAATTAAGGGGACGTAGCTAACAATGACATCAATGTTGCACGTAATTATTGTAATGTGATGGGTACAAAAATATTGCATCTTGCTGGGGACTCAGACCGTCATTGACCTCCAATCTGAGCTGTATTTAAGAAAGCAACTGCGCCCAACGTGTAGGCCAGATTTGGGGTGGTCTCTGGCCTCTCCCACATATGTGGTAGTAGAGTCCTGAATAAAGATCAGTTGTGCTAAGGAACACAGGACTTAAGAGTCCTCTTTGATATCTCTCTCTACAACGCTAAGTAAAATGTTTCTCTTGAATTAGGGCAGCACAGTGGCTAGCACTGCTACCTCACAGTCCCAGCCATTCCACCCTCGGGTGATTGTCTGTGTGGAGTTTGCATATTCTCCCTGTGTCTACATGGATTTCCTCTGGGGGCTCTGGTTTCCTCCCATAGTCCAAAGATGTGCAGGTTAGGTGGATTGGCCATGGTTAATTGTCCTGTTGTGTCCAGGGATGTGCAGGGTTATATCTTAGGGAAATGGGGCTGAGTGGGATGCTCTTCAGAGGGGTAGCATGGACCCAATGAGCCGAATGGCCTACTTTCACACTGTCAGGATTCTATGAATTCCCTAATGGATTTCTGGGTGACTATCCTCCTTCGTAATTGGCCTCCTGTTATGCTTTTCCCAACAAGTTCTCTCTATGTCTAAACTATTGAAATCTTTCACAATTTACAGACCTCAGTAGGGTCGAACTTTGGATTTTCAAGAACAGAAATCCTTAGCAATAAAGTACATTAAGGCATGTTGACATTGTGAAAGGCACTATCTAAATACAAGTCTTCTTTCATTGCATCATCAGGCTCTTATTTAATGCAAGGTCAGTGTTCTGGTCAATCGATCCTGTCTATTGGTTGCCCTTTCTCAGAATGCTGTTTATTCCTGCTATTCCTTACATCTGCCCTGTTGCCCTGTATGGCACCTGAACATGACTGTTCTCAAGCAGGAGGGCCATTCAGCCCAGTTTACCTGCTTCACCATTCACCTAGCTCATGGCTGATCTGCCATCTCAATGCCATTTGCTGCACTCTCTCCAAAACATGTTCTGCTTGCTTAAAGAGTAAAAGGACTTTATGCAACATTTAGGATCTTCTGTGGAGTACGCTGTCTGTAAATATTGCAGCCACCTTTGCTCATTTGCTTTTACGACTCGTTCATTAGCCAGCTGCTACCCAATGGCCCAAGCAGCCGCTTTCCTCACCTCGGATTCGCACTTGCCATCTGCTCTCAATCTGATCCAAAGTCCTTTGCTAATCTTTCACCCTTGGATTAATACTTCAGCAGCTTCACCGCAAATTTGCAACCTCAATCGAGAGATACTCCCACCCCTGGCTACTGCCCTCGCCGACTATGGGGCCTCCCCAGCCCACCTCCTCCACCCTGGGATACCCAGTGCCGTTCTGCCTTGCCCCATCCACCCACCCCTGCTTACACGGTGCGGTCTTTGATGACGGTGCTGATTTTGTTTAAATCCTCTCCGAAGCGCTTCACGGCCGAACGCAGCATCTCAATCTCCGTGTCCGTCCACTTGGCACTGGCGAGAAGAGAGACAGCAATGGAAAGAGGAAAACAAAAATGTTGGTACAGCCGGGATTGTGAAGACAGCTGCTGTAGCTCCTCAGAAGGGGAAGTGGGTTGGCACTGACAGAACAACCGAGTGGGCCAAGGGAGACATCACTGCCAGAAGGCAGAGGGGCTTGGATGCCAGGTTAGTATGCCAGGCCAGTAAACCAATTGCCCAGTGCTGCCTTGAACATCCTTGCTAAAGGAAGATCGATCTTAGAGTCACAGAGTTGTACAGCACAGAATCCAACTCAGTCATGCCAATCAGATATCCTAAATTAGTCCAGTCCCATTTGCCAGCATTTGGCCAATATCCTTGCAAACCCTTCCTATTCATATACCCATCCAGATGCATTTTAAATGTTGTAATTGTACCAGCCTCCACCACTTCCTCTGGCAGTTCGTTCCATACATGCACCACCTGCTGCACGAAAATGTTCATAGAATCATAGAATCCATACAGTGTAGAAACAGGCCCTTTGGCCCAACAAGTCTACACCGACCCTCAGAGCACCCACCCAAACCCATTCACCTATAACCCACACATCCCTGAACACTACGGGCAATTTAGCATGGCCAATCCACCTAGCCTTTGGACTGTGGGAGGAAACCGGAACACCTGGAGGAAACCCACACAGACGCGGGGAGAATGTGCAAACTCCACACAGACAGTCGCCCGAGGCTGGAATTGAACCTGGGTCCCTGGTGCTGTGAGGCAGCAGTGCTAACCACTGTGCCACCGTGCCGCCCCAATCGAGACAGTTGTTACAGGTAGTTCTTCTAAAACTTGATAGTTGTGTTCTTGCATGACCTTGTGCTATAGTAAATTGTGTTATAGCAAATCACCATAGAAAATCATGTTATAGGGAAATCGCTACAGAAAATCACTATACCTGTACAACAGAAAGTTTACGTTATCCAAACAGTGTCCACTATTCATCAATCATATTATAGCCAATTAACAAAACACGCATTATAGCAGAACTACCTGTATACCTTAGGTCCCTTTTAAATCACTCTCCTTTCACCTTAAACCTGTGCCTTCTATGCTGGACTCCCCTATCCTTGGGAAAAAGACCTTGACTATTCATCATATCCATACCCCTCATGATTTCAGAAACCTTGAAAAGGTAACCCCTCAGCGTCTGATGCTCCAGGGAAAATAGCTCCAGCCTATTCAACCTCTCCCTATAGCTCAAACCCTCAAATCCTGGCGATATCCTTGTGGATTTTTTCTGCACCCTTTCAGGTTTAACAACATCTTTCCTACATCACAGAGACCAGAATTGAATGCATTTCCCAACCTCAGGATATTCTTGAACACTTTACAGCCAGTGAAGCAGTCCTGGAGTGCAGTCGGGTAACACGACAGCCAATTTACACCAAGCAAGCTCCCTAGAAAACAGGATCATGGACAAATCGTACACTATTTAATGATGCTGACAGACTGGTAGATATTGGCCAGGACATTTTTACGCTTCTCTGAGCATTGAATACTCACCGGGACCTTGGCACTTACAACAGTGCAGCACTCCTCAGTACTAGTACTGAGGCATTAGCTTTGATTTTTGCATTCAGTTGTCTGCAGTGAAGCTTCATTTCTTAAAATCCCTACAGTCTGGAAGCAGACTATTCGGTCCATTGAGTCCACATCAACCCCCGAACCGCGCACGCACGCACACATGCCCTGCCCTATCCCTATAATCATACATTTCTCATGGCTAACCCACCGAGCCTGCACATCCCTGAACATTATGGGACAATTTAGCGTGGCCAATCCACCCTAACCTGCACATCTTTAGACTGTGGGAGGAAACCAGAGCACCTGGAGGAAACCCATGCAGACATGGGGAGAATGTGAAAACTTCACACAGATAGTCGCCCGAGGGTGGAATCGAACCTGGGTCCCTGGCTATGTGAGGCAGCAATGAGCCACCGTGCCACACATTTCTTCTTTCGCAGAACACGGACTTACCACCCCAACTTTCCTTGATTGAGAGGCATGCTCAGGTGTTTTACAGGGTGGTTAAGAGTCAACCACATTGCTGTGAATGTTGCATGTTACCAGATTTCATTCCATAAAGGGAACTAGTGAATCACATGGGTTTTTGCAAAAATCATTGGTAGTTTCATACTCACCATTTCATCACTGACCAGCTCTCAATTCTTCATTTTTTAAACTGAATACTATGTTTCACCAGATGCTGTGAACCCACGTTACCAGGACATGAACCTGGGCTGCTGGTCTCAAAGCTACTACATGATACCCCTCGGCATGTTTCCAATAGTTTAATTGAATAATTCTTTCATGGAATAACAACTTTGTTAAACAAAGATTATATCAGATGATATTGGGTTGTACAATTGGTAATATTAGCACGAGTTACTTCTTTCAGATAATGAGAAAAAAAATGGATCAATTTCTTTTCCCTCATTTCTTCCCAGGCAGCCATTATCATGGAACATGTTTATTTACTCTCTCGTGAACTCTGTGAAACCCGGCTAGGGGACAGAATGATTTCTGGAAAGAGGGCTTCAATTCTGAGATCCTGGGATAGAGGAGCAGAAGTAGGCCATTTGGCCCATCCAGTCTGCTTCGTCTTTCAATGAGGTCACGGTTTATCTCATAATCCTCAACTCCCAATTTCCGGCCGTTTCCCCATAATCCTTAACTGATTAAAAATCTGTTTACCTCAGCCTTGAATATGCTTAGTGACCCAGCTTCAACAGCCCTTTGTGGTAAAGAATTCCACAGATTCACTACCCTCTGAAAGAAGAAATTTCTCTTCATCTCTGTCATGACACATGACCTCTTCTTCTGAGACTATGCCCTCTAGTCCTAGACTCTCCCACAAGGGGAAACAACTTCTCCATTTACAGTCATAGAGTCATACAGCATGGAAACAGACCATTCGGTCCAACCAGTCCATACCGACCATAATCCCAAACTAAACTAATCCCAACTGCCCACATTTGGCCTATATCCCTCCAAATATTTCTTACTCATGTATTTATCCTTTGTAACGGTATCCGCATCCACCACTTCCTCTGGAAGTTCATTCCACACATGAACTACTCTCTGTGTAAAAATACTTGCCCCTCCTGTCTTTTTTTAAGTCTTTCTCCTCTCATCTTAGAAATATGCCCCTTAGTCTTGAAATCCCCAACCCTAGGGAAAAGGCACCTGCCATTCACCTTATTTATAGCCCTCATGATTTTATAAACCTCTTTAAGGTGATCCCTCAGCCCCCTACATTCCAGTGAAAAAAGTCCCAGCCTCTCCTTATAACTCAAACCCTCCATTCCCGGCAACATCCTGGTAAATCTTTTCTAAACCCTGCATCTGTGGAACACTGATTTGGTTTGTGTAATTTTTATGACTTCACTGCTTAGTTTAAATGTCGGAAATGATTTTTTTGACATGTACTCAATCAAAGTGGCATTTTTGTGCTTGTTTAATTTTTTTTCTTTTTCGTTGCCGATGATTCATTTGTGATTTCTAATGAGCATACCCACAGCAAACTTTGAAATGGATAATAAAATCCAAAGTGATTGAACTGAACTAATGAAGCAGCAATTCAGGGAGTACAGCTAGTCTCAATCTGCCCGATGTTCAACCAAGACTCAACTAATCCAATCAGTTGTTAATTCTACATCTGTGGCACGTAAAGTTTTGTTAAGCAAAGGTGTAAGAGATAATGGGCCAAGGCAGGTATACAGAGTTTAGGCCACAGATCATTCATAATCTCACTGAATGGTGGAACAATCTTCTACTCCTGATCCCTGATTGGCAACATGCATGTCTGTATAGCAGCTAAGATTTAGCATCAGGGTCCCCAGCTCTCCAAGTTTCAACTCCTTCCCTCTGCTCACTGCCTATAGGTGAACCGCACACAAGGCTAAAGGACCAAAGGACAGTCGACCAAATTTGGATGTGCAAACCAACACCAGAGTGGGCGGAGGAGGGGTGGGAGGCTGTAGGAAAGAAAGGGGCAGAAGGAATGGCACAGAGGGGTACAGAACTGGAGAGAGCATTGTGGACCAGGGAATGAGAGAAGAATAATGGGAGCAGGGTTGACATGGAAGAGGCTAGAGTAAGTTCACGTGCATGCAAGTAAATTGAAAATGTCAGCAGTCTACAGAAACAGAATGACAGTGCTGGATACATACATCTATCACTGCCCACTTGAACTCTGGGTTGATGTCATCAAATGAGGAATCAAGCTTCCTCAAACTCCAATAATGCATCTCTTCACTCCCCCTGTACCTCTTCAACCATGTGCCCAATATGCACCAAACTGCACAAAGCGCCCCTTTACCATGCTGCTGAATCAGGCTGCCTGTGTCATGTCAATTAGCCCCAGACTGTTAAACTTGAAAGGGTGCAGAGACGATTTACAAGAATCTTGCTGGGGTTGAAAGGTTTGAGCTATAGGGAGAGGGTGAACAGTCCGGGGCTATTTTACCTGGAGGGTCAGAGGCTGAGGGGTGACCTTATGGAGGTTTACAAAATCATGAGGGGCACGGATAGGTGAATAGTCAAGGTCTTTTTCCAGGATAGGGAAGTCCACACTGGAGAGCACAGCTTTAACATTAAAGGGGAAAGATTTAAAAGGGACCTAAGGGGCGACACTTTCACTCAGTGGGTGGCACGTGTATGGAATGAGCTGCTACAGAAAGTGGTGGAGGCTGGTACAATTACAACATTTAAAAGGCATCTGGATGGGTACATGAATAGGAAGGGTTTACAGGGATATGGGCCAAATGCTGGCAAATGGGACTAGATTAATTTAGGATATCTGTTCAGCATGGACAAGTTGGACAAGTCTGTTTCCGTGCTGTACAATTCTATGACTCTATGACTGTGGCGGTCACTGGCCTATAGCAATATCTTGCTGTCAACTGGTAAATGCTGGATCAAAAGTGACCAACTACCAAAGCATTGGAACCTGGAAGCCAACAGCTTGGGAAAATGGCATCACGACCACTTGCTAATGCCAAACGAATGAACAGGGCTTTGTTTTAAAACAGAGCTGTGTCAGCAGCTTCAGCTAGTTTTATTTTGCGCCAGAGGGGCTGGCAATCTGTGACCACAAGCAGCACACAAATTAACGCACGTTGCCTGGATTGGCTGCCACACAAGGTACATAAAGTAGAGGAATGTCTTCATTCAGAGTGTGGCAAATGTTTGTCCAAAGAAAAATGTCTACTTGCCTCTCCCTCCGCCACATCCCCTGAAAAGATCTGCGCTACATGCCACAGAGTTGTCGGCAAAGACAGAAGGGGTTCATGTCACAGGGTGGGCACCGCTTGGCATTCATTGCCAAGCCAGTGGTCAACAAGGTCCTGGAGGGACAGTGGTGGCGAGCCTTAAAGGGGGTAAGATACCTGGGGTCTGCTGCCATCTACTTACCCAGCCGGTGAGGAGTCAGCCACTGGGTGCAGCTGCATGGTCAGCTCTCCGAGCTTGGTGAAGGCGGCACCAGCTGCCGAAAAGATCTCGCCCACCTGCAAGGTCAAAGGGCAGGACAGTGTCACACATCAGCCACAAATGGAATTCTCCAATCACCTCCAAGCCCCCAACCACAACAGGCTCCAGATTCACACTCCAAGATGCCCTCTTGGGCGGAATTACAAGCGAGCCGAGTACCCAGGCTAGAGTCCACTGCACCGGGCCGGTGAGCCCCGTCTCTCTGTCCCACTTAGAAACATAGAAAATAGGTGCAGGAGTAGGCCATTCAGCCCTTCAAGCTGGCACCACCAATCAATACGATCATGGCTGATCATGTCATTTCAGTATCCCATTCCTGCTTTTTCTCCATACCCCTTGATCCCTTTAGCCGCAAGAGCTACGTCCAGCTCCCTCTTCAATACATCTAATAAACTGGCCCCAACAGCTTTCTGCGGTAAAGAATTCCAGAGGTTCACAACTCGGAGTGAAGAAATTCTTCCTCATCTCAGTCCTGAATGGTTTACCCTTTATTCTTAGACTGTAAATCCTAGTTCTGGACTTCCCCAACATCAGGAACATCCTTCCCACGTCTAGCCTGTCCAGTCCAATCAGGATTTTATATGTTTCTATGAGATTTTGCCTCATTCTTCTAAATTCCAGTGAGTACAAGTCCTATCGATCCAAATCTTTCTTCACAGGTCACTCCTGTCATCCCGGGAATCCGTCTGGTGCACCTTCACTGGACTCCCTCAATAGCAAGAATGACCTTCCTCAGACTAGGAGGCCAAAACTGCACACAATACTCAAGGTGTGGCCTCACCATGGCCCTGCAGAACTGCAGCAAAGCATTCCTACTCCTAAACTCAAATCCTTCTACGTAGTCAGTATCAGTAAATCTTCAACAACAACAAAAACAAAGTTGTTGGAAAAGGTCAGCAGGTCTGGCAGCACCTGTGAAGAAAAAAGTCAAAGTTAACGTTTCGGGTCCGGTGACCCTTCCTCAGAATGGTAAATCTTCATCTTGCTTTTGGATGAATGTACGAACTAGGAGGTATAGGCCAATCGGCCCATCGCGCCTGCTCAGCTATGGCTTATCCAATTATTCCATGGTCCTACCTAACCCAAAATATTTCACCCTCTTGCTTATTAAGAATTTATCTACATCCATCTAGTCATTATTTCCATTGCCTTTTGAGGAAGAGACTTGGTGGGAGGGATGGGAGAAGGGAATGGGGGAAGAGGAGGTGGGGAGATGTGGTGGTAGGAGACAGAGTCCACTTTGTGTCTACTCTACATACGAAGCAACTCAGACACATGTCAAATACAACTTAACGGGCATTCTTCTCAATTCACTGAACCCCATGTCACTGCAATAGGATGGCAATCCAAGGCTACAATTTGCTTACCAAGTAATAACCTGGGGACTACCACTGGCCAAAACAATTGAACTGAACCAGCCACATAAATATTGCGGCTGCTAAAGTAAGAAATTCAAGAATTCAATTCAGCAGCTAGGAACTCTATGGTGTTAACTTACTTCCTGACTCCCCAGAGCCTGTCCACCATCTACAAGACACAAGTCAAGAGTGGGATGAAATACTCCCCACTTGCCTAGCTGAGTACATTAGAACAACACTCGAGACAATCAAAACCTTCTCAAATAAACAACCTGCTTGATTGGCACACCAGTCTTCACTTCAACGTTCACTCCCTCCACAAATGGTGCTCAGCAGCAGTCGTGTGGACCACCCACGAATTATCTTGCAGTAATTCACCAGGACACTTGAAGACACCTTCTAAACCCACAACCACTGCCATCTAAAAGAACAATGGCAGTAGATTCAAAGGAACAGCACCACCTGAAAGTTCTCTCTCCAAGCCACTCACCACCCTGATTTGGAAATGAATTGCCGTTCCTTCAATGTTACTGGGTCAAAATCCTGGAACTTCCTCCCTAACAGAAGAGTGAGCCGACCTACAAGATATAGCAGTGTAGCAGTTCAAGAAGGGGGGGCTCACCTCCACCTTCTGCAGGGTAGTTAGATATAGGCGCTATCGGTCAGCTCAGCCAATGACACCCACATCCAAACCACAAAATCTTTTATAATAAAAAATAAGAGTCTACACTTACCTTGGTTGATGCTGAGGTCATCCTGCCGGTGCTCCAACAGTCGGGAGAGAAACAATTCCTAAGCCCACGGGCTTTGCAGAGGGAAGGGTAAACTCTCTTGGCAGATTTCCAGAACCCAAGATGGGCCCAAATTCGAACCGATCAATGCCAAATAGCCTGACGTGTGGCACAGGGGTAGCCAGCGCCTGATCCAAGGTACTTCCCCAATTTCAAGTGAGGGGGTACCTGAAATGATCTTCTTTACCACATCCCAATCCCACAACCAACCAATCAACCAACCAACAACCCAATACTGGTGTGATCTGATGTTATGCAACAAGATTGCACCGCAATTGCCCCCTTTGTGCAAACTTGAAGATGGGTCACCCCAAAACTAAGATAAAATGCTTAATTTTCTTTTTTTGGTCTCTTTGTGTAAGGAGAGGGAGTTTGCTATTGATATCAAAGCAGATAGTCCCAATGCAGTGCACATGCAACAAGAATTTATTATCAGTTTGCCAGCATTTTTTTAGATGCTTTTTATCTCTTTCCCCCTCAGATGTTATTGAAGTTGCAATGCAGAAGCGAGTGGGAAGGATCTCTCACCTTCCCCCAAAAAACCCCCTCCAAGAGTTTGATTGACAGCTTTTCCCTGGAAGCTCAGGGCCGGGATCCACTCTCCCCCACCACACTTTTCCCAAGGTTTACCCACTCTGTCCCTCTGCCTCCCTCACTGCACAGGCCAAGCCCTCGCCACTGCCGCGGCCTTTCCCACAACCGCCGACGGCCCGCGTCTCCAACGGCAACCCATCGTCCCCGCACCGATTGGCCGGGAAAGATGTCAATCACTTTCCACCCCCTTCTCCATTGGACGGATGCCTTCCGGGCCGCGCAGGGTGGTTGGACAAGTGGATGTCAATCAGCACTTCTGGTCCCACCCTCCAGAACCCGCACGGTTTCATTGGACAGCACCATCCGGTGCGCCATCTTGGTTGGTCTACATTTTGTCAATCAATAATCCTGATTATTCATTGCAGGGATGATTCCTATCCTCCTTTCCGATTGGTAAGAGCCGATAGCAATCAACACGCAAAGTCCCGCCCTCGATCGACCGACCGTCTCTGGCGGTCCAGCCTCGAAGGGGTGGCTACGTGAGTCAAATGGCATTTCTCACTTTTTCTGAAGAAAACTCACTGAATTCGAAACGTTAACCCTTCTTTCTCTGCGCAGATGCTGCGACACCTGCAGGATTTTTCGACCAATTTCTGTTTATGCCCCCCTTCTTAAACCCGCATTCAACTCAGCTTTATTTCCATTGAAGGCTTTGTCCGATCGCCCATCGATTGGCCTTGGCAAATGTCAATCGGTTCTCACCCTCTTTCCCCACCCCCCACGTCCATCCACTCAATCCCGCCTTTTCTGAGATACTCCATTTCCATTGGACAGTCGCCTTCCCGATGCTGTTTCCCATTGGTTTGACCGGACGTCCATCAAAGTTGAGGTCAACATTCACCTTTGGGATCCGTCATCGCTCCGCCCATTCCCCCGCTGATTGGTTCCTGCCGTTGCCTGTCAATAACTAATCCCTGCCCTCTCCCCGAGAGGCCTCTAAAGGCAGTCAACTGACAATACGCCCCTCTGCGCTGAATGATTGGTTGGTCTGCAGGTCAATCCATAAGAAAGACTCGACCCGCCCCTTTGCTCACCAATCCGATTTCTCAACGTCACTGGAACTGGATTGACCAATGGAGAGAAAACGGGCGACGGTGTAGGGCGGGGCTCACGTATGATCGACACCTCTATTAACCAATTGGAGTAGAGCGTGGACGGGTCCGTTGAAGGCGGGAAGATGTCCAATAAGATTTGGCAACCTGGTATGTACAAGTTGTCCAGTAGTCTTGTAGTATATGTATAAAGTGCTGACATTTCTTTCAATGACGTTTTCTGCTTAATTTGCCATCAGAAAATAACACTTTGTTTCATTAACGACGTCATGTTCCCAACATCTTATCATGTTAGATATGTGCCTGGGTGTGGACAGGTAACCAGGCAATGGGGGAAGGTCATCCCAACCTGCCATCTCTGGCTACACATCCCACCTATATGTCCTTAGAGAGGGAGCACTCGGTGATCATTTAAGGCCTTGGATGTTGATTTGATTTGATTTGATTTGATTTATTGTTGTCGCATGTACCTAAGTACAGTGAAAATTGTTGTTTTCCCCAGGAGAATGGGAAAATCACAGCAAACAAGGACATACCGATCAGAAGGTGCTTAGACAGAATGAGGCTTACAAGGTTACACCTCACAGGAGGTGCACAAAGAAAGATCAACATTAACACAATCAACATTATTTGAAGTTACTACAGTAACTGAAGGCATACAGGTCAGGCAACATCAGACTCTGACCTGCTTCTCTGATGCTGCCTGAGCTGCTGTGTACCTCCACCTCCACACTGTATTGACTCTGACTCCAGCATCTGCGGTTCTTGCTATTTCTGATTACTTGAAGTTAGAATCTAATAACAGCAGGGAAAAAGCAGTTCTTGAACCTGTTGGTGCTTATGTTCAAGCTTCTGTATCTTCTGCCTGTCAGAAGACGTAGGAAGAGAGCATTACAGAGTTCTGTGGCTAATAAGGACTGCTGGTGCTGGTGTACATCATATATATTTTCCATTACTTGTGCATTACACAGGTTGGATGAACATTGAAAGGCAATATAAAATAGATGGTACAGTTCTAAAGGGGTTGCAGGAGTCGAGGGACCTGGGCAGAGATATGTGTGCACAAATCATTGAAAGTGAATATCAGGCATTGATACAGCAGTAAGGATACAGTGTCCTCTGCTTTATTAGTAGGGGCATGGAGCAACAGGGTGGTTTTGAACTTATGCAAGACATCGGTCAGACCTCAGCTCACGTATAGTGTACTGTTCTGGGCATCACATTATCAGAAGGATGTAAATGCATTGGAGAGAATGCAGATGTGGCTTACAAGAACGGTTTGTTAAATTCATTCACAGGGTGAGGACATCACAGGGATGGACAATAAATGCCAGTCTAGCTAATTTACCCAGAGGGCAGTTAAGGCTCAACCACTGCTATGGGTCTGGAGTTACATTAGGCCAGACCAGTAAAGGATGGTAGTTTCTTTCCCTGAAGGGCAACAGTGAACCAGATGGATTTTTCCCAACAATTGGCAGTGGATTCATGGTCATTAGACTCTTAATTCTAGATTTTGTTTTAAAATTGGAATTCAAATTCCACCATCTGCTGTGTCAGGATTCAAACCTTGGTGCCCGGATATTACCCAAGTCTTTGGATTAACAGTCCAGTGATACCAGGTCATTGCCTCCTCCAATGGTTTCAAGAATGAGGAACATCAGTCAGGAGGATATATTGAAGAAGTTGAGATTGTTCTGTTTGGAGAGACCTTCTGCTGAGAAGAGATTTGATAGAGGCTTCATAATAATGAACAGGCTGAATTGAGTCGATAGAGAAAAACTATTCCTGCTTGTAAAAAGGAACAAGAATGAGAAAGTATAATGTGATTCACTAAAACAGCAATGGTAAAGTGAGGAAAGATGAAATATTTAGGTTATGAAATGCACGGCCTGGAGGTGGAGGCAGGTTGAATTGAGGCACTCGAGGGCATTAGATTAGAAAAAAAATAATAATGTGCGAGAATATGGGAGGAAAAGCAGGATATTGGCACCAGGTAGTGATGCTCAGGGAAGGCAATGGCCTAGTGGTATTATCTCTGGACTGTTAATCCAGAGACCCAGGTAATGTTCTGAGGACCTGGGTTTGAATCCTGCCATTTTAGATAGTGGAATTTGAATGCAATAAATATCTGGAATTAAGGTCTAATAATGACTGAATCCATTGCCAATTGTCAGGAAAAACCCATCTGGTTCACGAATATCCTTTAGGGAAGGAAACTGCCATCCTTACCTGGTCTGGCCTAGTCTATATGCGAGTCCAGGCCCATAGCAATGTGGTTGATCTTAACTGCCTTCTGGGCAATTAGAGATAGGCAGGAAATGCTGGCCTAGCCAGTGACTCCCTCATCCTGTGAATGAATAAAGGGGGAAAAAATGCTCATTTAACAAGGCATGCAGGCACAAGGGGCTGAATGTCCTCCTGCAACATAATACCTCCGTGATTCTAACACATCTCTGCAGCAGGTGGGATTTGAACTAAGGCCTTCTAGTATAAAGGTAAGGACATGTACTGCAGGGGCTCTTGTGGCTCAGTGGTAATCATTATCCCACAATGACATTAAAATTTAAATCACTAAGTTGCTTTTGAGATTTTGTCTTTGGTTACATTGCCTCTGAGGGTATTTGTTAATGATGATTGACAATTAACTGCCAGCCACACAGTTACAGCTAAGAATCATGGTTGTCATATAGCACAATCAGGCTCTCTTTTTAGAGACTTGAGTGGCAAAAAAAAACTCAACTCAAAAATACCCTGAATTTCATCCATTTTATTGTTCTAAAATTTCAAAATGGATCACTTACATTTGTTTTCCACAGTTACATCAACACAAAAACTACTCAAATTATAACTTCAGAAAAAATGACAACAAAAATAAGTTTCTCATGAACAGACAGGACCTTGTGACTCAGGGTCCTACATTAATATTTGTAGACTTCTCTTGCTATGAAAAATTGGTTGTGAAACAATGGAATTGGAAAGGAAATGGGAATCTTCTGAAATCACTCTCTAAACAGATCCAGATGGGTCAATGGCTGACACTGACTGATGTGCAAGACAAGCATCAATGTTTCTCCTCCCCTCTATTGCTGCAAAATTAGAAATTATTTAAACAGATCCCAATTTTCCACAGACAACAGAAACCATAGTCCATATCCTTGCTTTGCCGGTGCTTCCTTCACAAGATTAGTTTTGGTCCTCAGGACAAACACTGGGGTGAAAGATGACCAGGGAACTTCCCCTGCCCTTATTCAGCAATGATAACGCCTAGCAGCTTTAGTCCAACTCCAAGCAGGCCTATTTCCATAGCAACAAGAGTACAACACCTATAGAATGCCAGAGGGATCTGACACAAAGTATTGGATAATCTCAGCAAGTCTGGTAAGCATCTGGGGAGACAGAAACACAGTTAATGTTGAGTTCAGCACGATTCCTCTTTGGAAACGAAGAAGAGTCATACGAGACTTGGGAGTGTTAACTGTTTATGCCTCCACTGGATGCTGCCAGGCCTGCTGAGTTTCTCCAGAATTTTTTTTTTGTTTTTTAAAAAACATCAGACTACCAGCATCTGCAGTATTTTGCTTTTACATGAATTAATGTGCTGGCCACCCCAAAAGTCCTTAGAGACAGTCCTCCCCTTCCTTCTAACCACTAACTCCAGAAATAAAAGCATCACAACAGTCCTGCCACCAAATAGGATACATTCCTTCACAGTAGAGTATCTCGGAAGACAAACTGGACTTTCACAGTTTCAACACCGCACCCTATCCTTCCATCCCAACCTCACCCACTCCGGCAACAAAACGGCTTTGATGCCATCAGGCTTCGAAGTACCACCAAATCTGATGCGGCTTACACGTGACCATTTGAGGACGAATACACAACTTGGAAGGATTCCAGAGGGACAATGAGAACAGGGCAAGGGAGGTGAAAAAAAAAGTCTCTCGACAAGAGGTTCCCATGAGAAACAAAGTTTTCAATCAAACACCTTGTAACACTTATTCATACACATTTCAATGCCACCCGCCACCACATCATTTAAATTTCAAGTACAATTTTATTTTTGTTTAAACAATTGATTAGAAAGAAAGAAAGCGAGATCTTTGAAT